TCGGTAGTTTTTTTTTTTTTTTGTTTTTTTTTTTTTTTTTTTTTTAAAATAAGTATAAATTTAAGAAATAAAATAAGATAAAATAAAGGATCAACGCGTGGGGATAGATGTGCTGGCTGCGCGGATAGGATAGGGTTGTGATACGGGATCGATCACTCTTTGTACGATTCTGCGCTCGCTTTTGGGACGTGTTTTGACGTGTTTCTATTATCTGATTCTTCGACTTCTTCATCTTCATCTTCGTCTTCTTCGTCTTCTTCGTCTTCTTCGTCTTCGCCTCCTGGGTTCTTGATGAGATTACTTATGTGACTGATTGATTGATTCATTGATTGACTGATCGAATGATCGAATGATCGAATCAAATCAAATCAATTCCGTCCCCCGTCATACTCGTCGTTTGTCGGGAATCAGGACTTCGAAAGAGGCCGTTCGATGTCCTGCCCTGCCTTCCTTGCCTGGCCTTGCAAAACGGTAACTCGTGTTGCGACTGGATGGGAAGGGAAGTCCCCCCCCCCACACCGAGTCGAGACGAGTCGATGGAGTGAGTCAATTTGCGTTACGGTTGCTACTACTATATTATATTAGCAAGACAAGAGGTGACCCTTTTTTTAGGGGGGATGGGGAAGGGGTTAGATAGTAGTAACTCCTTTTATTTTATTTTTTTTTCATCCTCGCCTTGGATACTCCGTAGTCTCCTCCCACGTCGTAATTTCTCGGCAGAGATACCCCTAGGGGATCTGGACCTGGGGTACGATTGAGCGAGCGAGCATACTACGTACTACTACGTACGGACGAGATGATAAAAAAAAGGCTCTTTGAGTAACTCCAGTCTCGGTTTGGGGACGCGATTTCTCGATTGGGATCCGCCGGCCGGCCGCCGTCAGGGTCAGGGTCCGGGTCCGGTCCAGGGCGTCTGGATCCCACATGCAAGATGCCACATTTCGCCCAAGTGCCGGGACGATCTCGCGTGTGCCGGGGATTGGATCGGATGGCCCTCCTTCTCGAGCGGGTTCGGTCAATGGTCAGGCCTCAGGACGGAGTAGGCAGGTCGGTGAAGAGGCCAAAGTCTGTATAGTAGTAGTAGTAGTAGTAGTAGTAGTAGTACTACGTACTAGTAGTAAGTATGTAATGTACGTATGTAATGTACGTATGTAATGTAAAGTCAAGGAAGGGAAAGTCGGGGTTGACGGCACCGAGAGCGTGGATGAGCGGATGGGCCCCCTTTCCAGCCAGATGCAGTAGTACCAGCAACTCCGGTCCTACTACTACTACGACAGTATATCAAGTCACGAGATGATTGACGAGGTGCGAGGTGCATTGCCTTGCATGGCTGCACGATGTCCGTAGTAGTAGTAGTAGTAGGTACGATGTGCCACTGGTAGGTAGCAGTATTTATTTACTTCGGACGTTCGATGCATGCCATGCCACGGACGGACTGGGCTGGTACGCGTTGGGGACCAACTGGCTGGGCTGGTTCATGGGAGTTGAGCGTGGAGAGTGGAAAGTTGAGAGTGGGAGCGAGGCTGGAGTGCTGGCGGTCCGTAGGGGGGTTTGGTTGTTTGGGTTGGGTATCGCCGCCAATCTTAGCCCCCCCCCCCCAGCCAAACTATCTTCTCGGGGGTCGCAGCCGTGACAGGGCCAGTGACAGGGCCAAAAAAGACCGGCCCAAAAAGACTGCAAAAAGACAAGGCCCCCCCCCCCCCCCATCACCTCAGATCAGGGTCAGGGATGCCAGCCAGGTTCCAGGGATTGACTACGAGGGTCAGCAAAACCCTGCGCCCATTTCCAATAGCCTTTTGACATGGGCTTTGGCGATCCAAGCTCAAGCTCAAGCTCAAGTTCAAGCTGGTTAAGGTTTCCCGCAAGTGAGAGAGAGGGACAGAGAGAAGGACTACTAAGTAGTAAAAGAGACAGCTGGAAGAATCATGTTTGCGCCCTGGATTCTTCTGCCTTTCGTGTTCTGCTTCTGTATCGTCAGCGTGTGCGCATCGCCAGAGCTGATCACATCACCCTTTCCGTTGCTCATCCCCATCAGTTAGTTAAGGTAGTTAGTTGGCCTGCTCCGAGAGCCTTCCAATCCTCCCTCCCTCCCTCCCTCCCTCCCTCGCTCCATCACTTCATCTGTCAGTCGGCGCTTCTGTCAGTCGGCGCTTCTGTCAGTCGGCGCTTCTGTCGCTCTCTGCCTCCTCCTCCCCCATCATCAGCCATCAGCCATCAGCCATCAGCCACCACCAGCCAGCAGTCTGGACTCGGGCTGGAGGCAGATAGAGATCATCACGGTGGTGGCTTGCTCCCCCGACCAGCTTTGCAGCACCTTCGATCACACGGTTCACCCGCCCCTACGCTACCCTCGACCCCCAGGGCCCCCCATCTCATAGGTCGCCGAGGTCAGGATCCGGAAATCGGTCAACCAGGCCAGCCCGTCGTGATTGGAGCGTAGAGGAAAAGCAAGCAAGGAGACTCAGATTACCACACTGGACTTCCTTCCTCGAAAGAAGAGCCGACTCGAACGAAACGAAGCGAACGAAGGAACTCACCCACTCACTCACTTGACCGACCCCCCTTTTCCCGCTACCGACCGGTATCTATCTACCTACTGTATCCTATATCACCCAAGAGACCGACCCCGACCGAGCGGAGCGGCTCCCGCCTGCCAGCCATCACAATTTCCCACCCATTCAGCAGACTAGACTCGGTTACACAGAAACATCCATCTATCCGTACGCACCATTTCTTGGGGAAACACCCCCTGGCCCGCCGCTCTGCCTCTCCCTGCCTGGCCTGTCCCTTGGTCCAGAACACGAACTTGGACAATTTGCTTTTGTGCCCGTCCAGGCGCTCTCGGTACAAAAACTCCCGTCCCCTTCTCCGTCTGCCCGTCGCCAGATAATCATAATTCGATAATCGGTAATCGGTAATCGGTAATCCCAAGTAATATACGCTCGCTCGCCCTGACCTCGCGCGCCATCTGACCACCTTCCGGCCTCGATCCCCATATCGACGACGACGATCGCGACGCGGCAGCCTGCCTGCCCACGGGCGAATTTTTTTTTTTTTTTTAAAAAAAAATAACAAAATAAAATCAATCAATCAATCAATCAGGACAGCTCCCCACTAATCTACATTCCTCCGCATTGTCAGCTCGACACACGCGCCCGGGGGCATAGCAACTACCTACGGTACCTACTACTGGCAAAGGGCATCTCGCTCGATCGGGACGCGGACAGACATCCGCCTACCCACAGAACCGGCAAGACCCGATCCGCTCCCTTCGACCTGACCCGGAGTGTGGTTTTGACCGAACTACACAGACGTATCTTGCCCGAGTCCTAAGCGGACTGCGAAAACGGCTTTTCGACACTTGACAACTCGAGACGGGCAGTCAGCAGCAGCAGCATCAGCAGCAGCATCATCGTCATCGAAGGAGGCAGGCACTCAGTCAGTCAGTCATTCCAGTAGCCAGTACCGGCTCTCGCAGCACGATATTGTAATCTAGGTATTGGTGGAGGAGGGACCTACGCTCGCTCGGCACCAGCTCGCTCGTCTGCGGAAGTAGTGCTTCCTGCTACATTTCTGCCTCTCGCCTGTTTGTTTGTTTATATGAGGTGGGTATTGGGAGTGGTCTAGACTAGACTGGACTGATTTGGACCTGGACTGGACTGGACGACGGTACTGAGAGGGAAAAAAAAAACAAAAAGTCGTGCTGCTCCCCCTCCCCACCCCACTTCTTCCGTCTGTACGTACACCTTACCTTTTTCATATAATCATTCGCGATGCACCCCCCCCCTTGCTGGCACTTAGAAGTCATCTGTGCGCAATCTGTCTTGGAAGCGTAGCTTGGCGTGCCTACCTACCCCCCCTGGTAGGCGGGCAGAAAGCCATTAAGCTTGCTTGCTTGCTTTGCTTGCCTGCTTGCCTGCTTGCCTGCTTGCCGACCGCCCTAACCAAGCTGCCTTCGTTCCTGTCCCTCTACCACACTCCATGCACACTACCTACACTACGACCACCTGCTACTACTACCACTGTTACCACTGTTACCACTACCTACTTCAACTATACAAAACTCTACCCTACATTCCAGTCCCATCTCTACTCCACTCCACTCCACTCCACTCCACTCCACTCCGCTCCACTCCTCCCAGATATATACTTTTGGTGAAAATACATGTCACCAGCCGACAAGCATGAACATGACCATGACGGCATGAACTGACTGTCTCTGAAGTGCACGCACATGCGAACAGGTTCATCACACGGGTAGCTGCATAACCTCTGGGGACCCGAAATCCTCTCCCGTCGAAACATCAACAACTTCAAGAGTCTTTGTCTTCAGTAAGTGATCCAAGACCCTCCCGTCAAGAATGTACTCCAGCCGCCGCCGCCGCCGCCGCCGCCGCCGCTGACCTCCCCGTTCATCCAATATGCCTTCCCCCCTCCTCCCCCCCCTCCCCCCCCATATCCTGGCTGACATGTATCGATTTCAGGTCCAGCACTCGCCCATCACTTTGTTCTCCAGTTTCAGCTTCCCGAGACGGAACTCCCAGCTGGCGAGACGGCCGCTTGTTGATTTGGTACAAGACGCGGATAGCAAGCGCTCTCATACAGCCATCGACGCCCTTTTTTTCTTTTTTTTTTTCTCCTGCCAAATTCCCCTTCTCATCCTCTCGGCTCCCTTGTTTACTTTTTGACGCCGGCACGAAACCCAAAAATCTCATCGAGACGGTCGAACGCGAGATCACACCGCGATCCGGATCTTTACCGGTCGGTCGAGAATCGGATATCCCCCACGGTGACGCCCTCTTCGGGGACGGCCAGCCTCTCTACACATTGGGGCTCCTTGGAACCTGTCACTGTCACCGCGATAAGAGCGCTTGGCCAATTTCGTCAACATTCCATGGAAGACGAAGGCAAGATCGCATCCCGCCGATAACCCACCCGACCTGCGTCCGATCTGCGTATCCACCCCCCTCTCTGCACCCTCGCTGATACCTACAATACCGTCAAACTGGCATACTCAACGTATACTCTGTTCGAAGTAGGTCTGCTCTCTCCCTTGAAGTATCGGGGCTCTCTCGGGTCAAAGTCAACACTCGCACAATTCCCACTGACTCTCCATCGTAGCCCGGACACCATCCCTCTGACAGACCTGTTATCATCGACGATTCATACGCCTCCCCCGAGACTGCGGCTTTCCACGAAGAAGGCTACGAAGGAGCCCTCGTGGCCAGGGTGAGTTCCCCAAGGGATCTCCTTCCCATGTCTGCCTACGGGAAAGCCCAACCGCCACAACTTCATGGTAAGTGATCTCGAGGCCGCGTCGCTGGACGCGTCTCCTCCCCTGTGACGCGAGACTTTTCTTTCTGAGCTTACATGCTGCACCAGGCTACGATGCCGGGCGAGGTTACTCCGACAACACGTTCCCTTACACGGCCCCAAGCTACGGGTCACAGCCCCCGGCGCCGGCACCGACTGCCGCACCCCTCTATCAACACGCGCCGCAGCTGACACCCGTGGCATACCCCCCGAATCAGGTGCGCACACCGTATGACGAACAGACCGGCCCCTACCTGAATGTCGGCGTCTCCACGCCCGAGATCACATCATACTCGCCTCGCCGCGGGACCCGGGATACCAAGTTCTCCGTCTACATCTCGTCGCTGTACGAGCTGATGAGCGAAGACAGCACCCCGCATTTCTTCCTCATGTTCGGCAACGTCAAATGCCAGGCGGCATTGCAGAAGCTGACGCAACAGGGAGCCGTCTGTTCGTACTCGGTCACGACCGAAGTTCCGTCGTACAGCGCCACCGGGTGGACCTCGTCCGCGGCGGTCCCCATCTCCATGTGGATGGAGAGCGGCGATGGAGATCTGATCGGGAAACTTGAGGTTGGGGACTTTACCTTCGTTGACGGCCTCAGCGCGACGAGCGGCTCCCAAGAAAACTCTCGGAAGCGCAAGTTGTCCATCGACTCAACCGGGTTGATGCGCAGCTCGTCCAAGCGGGTCTCCAACCACCAGCTCCGACCCAAAGAGGAGTACGGCACGTACGGGTACGCCCAGAGCGAGACGCCTCCGTCGTATTCGCCGTATCTGCAGTCGAGCAGTAATTACAACCACCTCGTGCCCCCGTACCATCGATCGACAGGAAGCTATCAAGGGCCGCCGCCGCAGCAGCAGCACCAGCAGCAGCAGCAGCAACCGAGACATCTGGCGTACGGCTACCAGTCCTCCACGACGGCATCTCCGCCCACCATCAAGGAGCAATCGCCGCAAGCGAGTAGCTGGTACCCCTCGGGGCCGACGGCACCACGCAGTCAAGGGGCGCAATCCCATCTCGGTCCGTCCCGGCCCGCTCTGTCTCTCCTTCCCACATCACAAACGACGCCCACCCTGATCCGCACCTCGACCATCCAGCAGACTCCCAGCCCGGCGACGACGCCGCACGGAGGAGCGCATTTCAGCTCCTATGGGGGGTTGATGTACCCGCACAAGGCGAAGCTCGAGATCCACGGGAACCTGGACGACATGACCACGGGCTGGTCCGACGACGAGTGGGAATCGCGGCGGCGGCTGGTCCATTTCCGACAGGCACAGTCCGGAAGCACCATCACGGTCACGTTCACGCCGGTGACTCCCGAAGATCGGCCTCAGAGTACGCCCACCAGCGGCACCATCAGCTGCATCTACTGGGAGGAGAAGAACGAGTGCTTTGTCACGAGTGTGGATACCATCTGCCTCTTGGAGAAGCTGCTCAACAGCCAGTTCTCGGTGGAGGAGAAGAACCGGATCCGCAGGAACCTCGAGGGCTTCCACCCGATGACGGTCTCGAAGGGGAAAGCCGACAGCGAGGAGTTCTTCAAGGTCATCATGGCGTTTCCCGCGCCGAAGCCGAGAAATATCGAGAAGGATGTGAAGGTCTTCCACTGGAAAGACCTGTCGGACGCACTGAAGAAGATTATTGGCAAATACGCAAGTTTTCCCCCCTTCCCCCCTCCCCGCGGACTCTCTGTCGTCCTTCCTGCTCAGGCTGCTGACCTTCGCCCAGTCGGCTTCTCCGGCCTCGATCCTCCCGCCGGCTCTGACGCCGGTCAGCTCCTCGACGGGGTACGGGACCGAGGGCTCGTCGACGGGCTACGGCGGCATCTCCCCCCGCTCCATGGCCAACTCGACGACGTCGACCTACACCAGCAACCTGCCGGCCCGGGTGGTGTCCCCGCACGAGCACAAGTCCCTGATGCTGCACGGTGGGCCTCCTGACCTCCGCGTCGGCATCTCACCGCACGGGCCCGAGGCCTCGAGCGGCTGGCCCGGCGGGCCGCCGCATCAGCTGCCGGCGCACTCCTCGTACGCGCCCCTCGGCCATCAGCCCCCCCCTCGGGACGCGTGGGGCATGTACCTGGAGAACAGCCCCGCGACGGCCGGTGGGGCCTCGGCGCCATCGCCCAGCGCCCACATGCCGTATGGCCAGCCTCGCAGCCGGGTAGTGGATTCGGGGGGCGACGGTCGGATGGCGCGGCGTCTGTCGTCGAGTCTGGCGTCGAGTCTGTCGTCGTCGCAGCAGCCGCAGCAGCCGCCGCAGCAGCAGTCGCAGCAACAACACCAACAACAACCACATTCACATGGTCAGCAGATGCCGCATACGTGAGAGACTCGTGCCGCCTTGAGATTGGGGATGAGGGTGTCCATCCGTCAGTCATCCGTCCATCAGTCATCCGTCCAGCGACTGGTCATCTGATGCCCGGTTTTAGCGCGGCTTGGCCTGGCCTGGCCTGGGCTGGCCTGAGCCGGATCCCGGTCGTCGATCATCTCCTCACATGCGCTACGCATCGACCCATCTGGCATCGACCCGTCTGACATGGACCCGTCTGGCATCCACCCATCGACCCGTCCACCCGTCCATCTACCCGTCCATCGACCCGTCCATCGACCCGTCCATCCACCCATCCACCCACCCACTCATCCACCCATCCCATCTCACCCTCTCCCTCCTGTCTGATCTGCCCCACATCATCACGTAGGCATCCGCTCGTCACCGCTCCGGCCCTGTCCAGATCCCCGCGCGCCATACATGTCTGCTGCCGCATGTGGTAACGACGACAACCACGACGACGACGACGACGACGACGACGACGACCTCCACCACCACCACCAACCCCCGCATGACAGGCGCATGCTGTCCCGCTGTACACCCTCCCAAACCCTCTCTCGTTCCGGCCCGCGACTTTCAAGGCCCTCCTCCTCCTCCTCTCCTCATCCGCCTGCTCATCACCCTGGCCCCGTCCCCCCACAGCCACGCAAATCAACCTCCCGTCTGCCTCGCTTCTCTCTCGCCATCTTATTATTTTATTTTTTCCCCCTTCTCTTTCTTTTTCTTTTCTAATTTCTCTCTCCACCAACCAGCCACGCAGTAAGCCTGTTCATCGGATTGGGGTGAGGGAGGGGGGCGGGGGAGGAGGGGAGGAGGGGAGTGGAGGGGAGTGGCTACCACCAAGTAGCAGATACGGTACCGGTAGATAGATAGACGAAGCCAGACCAAACCAGATGAAACCAGACCAAATCAAACCAGATAGATAGATAGATAGATCGAGATATCCCACTCATCCTTATCTTCATGCTTGAATCTCACGTCTCATGCGAAGTACTTCCACAGGCACGCGTTCTATGATAACCTCCCCCCTCCAGCCACCCATCCAATCGTCGGTTCACTCTTGAATTTAATCTGTCAAACATCCCGCCAGGCCGGACAGTAACGGTATAGGTAGGTAGGTACCACTTATCAAACAACCACCACTTAACATAAATATGAATACAAAAATATATTTTTTTACATGCCTGAAAAAAA